TTAATCGGTCATACGGATCCGCTTTTTCTTTTCCTCCAGTATATTATTCCAAGCAATGTTGTCATGAACACATCCGTGTACATATTGCTTTGAAAACGACGACGTTGTCTGAAAGAGAATTTCGCAATAAAGAAATGCTGGATGGCGACTAAGAACGTCTCCAGTGAAAATAGACCAACAGCTAGATAAATCAATGAAAGAATGAAAGGTTTTCCGGAAACAACGTATCAAACAGAACGCTAATGCAACTTGTCTCTGTTTCGCTTTGAGATGCTTTTACTCTCTTTTGAGAACTCCCCCCCAACAACCGTAAATATCACCACCATTATTGTTTTTGCCATCCATTCAAACACTTTCGTATCAATTTTAATTATTTTTTTCTGTTTGTCTCATTTCTTATTGCTAATGTTCTCATTTTACGTTAGAAGGCAGATAACTTAAAGGAATATCTTAAGATATTTCGTCTTTGACTTAAGAAAAAAGAAATCTCTCTCTAGTAATTTTATTCATTCTAATAAAGCTACTCTGGTATCGTGTGGTCAAGTAATGAAAGGTAGCGAAGAAAACGGCGAATTACATAGTCAAACCAAACAACAGCGTGTAGTGTATGTTCTACGACAGAAAATGTGGCGAAAAAGAAAGTTCCTGTTCGAGAAATAGGGCATGTATTCTGTCTGATATTCCGAAGACGGAATATCCAAAATAAAAAAAACAAGTGAGTTCCAGGTTTTTCCATGAATGTTTCTCGGATATGCTAATATTGTGTGTCGTCTCCCGCCTGTCGACCAATGAAAAAATAGTTCCGTCGCTGAGATTAGTTTATGTTCTCGAATTATATATAAACTGTATATGCCTGATGATGACCGTAGAATCTGTCAAAAGTACATTCATAATTAAGGAAGACATAATAAAGTTTATAATTTAAAAAAAACAATCATTACATTCATCGAGTAATTAGCGGGTTAATTCGCCATTTTATCTCATTAACTTTACTAATTTACTTTTTGTATGAATAATACATTGTAATATATATATATATATATATATATATATATATATATATATATATATATATATATATATATATATATATATATATATATTGCAAGGAATAGATACAAATTATTTCCTAAAGGCATTATGAAAAATGAAAAAAAAAAATAAGAGATGATAACACTTACAGAACAGACCAACCGGTTTCGTTCCCAAGCTCATCAGGGTCGACTGGGAACAATTTAACAATTATTGCAATATATATTGACTTACATAAACACTCTACATACTATTAACACATTAAAAATGAAATGATTAATGGTATGATGGGAAAAAAAATATATATATATATATTAAAACATTTTATGCCTATACGTTCTTTTCATAGATACAAATAATTAAGTAAATCCTGTGTTTATAATAATTCAGGTCGGTAAATGTTATTAATACTGTTTATTATATAAAAAAAATCCACCTTGCTAACCGAAACGCTCCTCTGTGGCTCAATCGGTAAAAGCACGTCAGGCTATATGACGGTTCCGTATAAGATACAGGTTCGATCCCTGTCGGAGGATGCACATTTTCTATGAAAATTTCTCGGACATTCAGGCCGGTAAATGTTGTGTAATACTGTTTATTATAAACAGGGCATTTACTGAAATATTTGTATCTATAAAAAGAACGTATAAACATTAAAAAATGCCTTAAAGTAATTGTCGGACTTTGTCTATTTCATATATATTTTATATTACAAAGAGTAAATCATACCTTGAATCAATTAGCAATATTAATGCAATTATTGGCGAAATCCCTTCGCTCGTAGACATAATTATAAGCATTATACTACCAATAATCCACTGAATGATGAGATCCTGATGTATAAAATGGATATGGTGTATTTTTAATTCAGCTAGTACTTTCGAGTGCTTCACGCATTCATCATCAGGTTGTATTTTTTTTCCTTTAGAATCAAAAGTGGAAGACGAAATAAATGTGTTTTTCCAACCGAAAGATGTTTTTAAGAATGAGCTATTTATTAACAGTTATGTAGTGTTGGAGCTTGCAGGTCGCAACGCTAAAGTTCAAATATTTCAAGAGAGAATTTTTCTGAATTTTGTAATTTGGTAAATCCACGAATATTTTTATAAGTGTTTTTCAGTTAATATGACATGAACTAAGTAGATAGTTCAATTAACAGAGTGATATGTCTTAGTAGTTTTTTTTATTTCAGGAATTCTTTACTGCGGATCAACTGTTTTTCATGATCATAATAAAATAGGCAGCATATATTTTATATTACAAAGAGTTAATCATACCTTGAATTAATTAGCAATATTAATGCAATTATTGGCGAAATTCCTTCAGTAGTAGACATAATTATAAGCATTATACTAATAATCCACTGAATGATGAGGTCATTATGTATAAAATGCATATATATATATATATATATATATATATATATATATATATAGGGTAGTCACTGAAAAGCTGAAGGGTTTGAAAAAGCCATAACTTTATCGTTTTCAATCTTTTTATGGATGGCAGAACGAAGATGAGAAAAGATGGAAAAAGACAGACTAACAGATACAAAGCATAGGATGTTAATGAGAGCCATTATCGCCCAAGCCCTGAATGGACATGGCAATTACCTTTCATTTAATCAATACCATATCAACGATATTATTTTACTGACATATCCGGGCGGTCATGATTCTCCACAGTTTCTTTTAATATTTTTTCTGAAAAAAAAAAACAAAACAAAAACGAAGCGAAAATACACATTGCCTTTTCTATAAATACTTGTAGCGAAGAAAACAGCGAATTACCTCGTCAAGCCAAGCGACAGCGTTTCGTGTATATTCTACGACAGAAAATGTGGCGAAAAAGAAAGTTCCTTACCGAAAAAAAAGGCGGATATTCTGCTTGTTATTCCGAAGACGGAATATCCAAAGTTAAAAGTAGGAACAAGTCAGTCGCAGAAGTCACTGTAAAAGGTATGCTAATATTGAAATATTTCTTATTGTAAAACTTACAATGATTGGAGCACATGGCCGAAGAGCAATTGGGGAAACACTGATCTTTGCTATCTTTCCTCGTCCTAGTTAAACATAATCACGATTACTACAAGAACTTGTCCATCACCATTCAGTCCTGCATATAGCACAAATTCACTGCGGACCTACAAAACAACCCAAGATATAAAAATGTCATGAAAGTTCATATTGTCTTTTATGTCTCCCACAAAAATATACTAAAATTTCATGAATCATGAAATGAGGGAGAGTGGATAAACCCAGACAACTAATCAAAGATTGTAATAAAAAAAAAAAAAAACTGGGATATGCTAAATATTGTGTGTCCTCTCCCAGTTGTCGACGAATGAAAAAAGTTGTTTACCGATAAAAGCAGTTGGTGTTCTCGAATTGGGAAGAAAAAAAATGTCATTTGTTTGCTAGCGCGTTCGTCGGTCAATCTGTTATTTCCTTGACTGTTTACGTGCATTGGTATTTGTGACATAGCACCTGCGAATCGAGATTTTGACATTTCTTTCTACCCCAAGTGACATCATTTTCTTAACAGGAATTTTAACTCTATCACGATGAAACTGACTACAAGGTTATTAGCCCTAGCAATTATTTAACATATCCAAAGAAAAAAAAAAAAAAAAAAAAAGGAAAAAAAAAACTTACTAGTTGGGCTAGGAATTTTACAGCAAACTGTTATATATAAAACATTTTTCACCTTAAGCAAGGCAATAATGCCACTAAGACACATTGCCTTTTCTATAAATATAGACATTGGCTACTAGGAGTAAAAGAGAATGAAAATCAGAAACCCGAACGTAAACAGCAAACAAGAGATAAACAATTACACCTGTCCAAAAGACCGAGAAGGAGAGTGAACCGGGCGATAGGCGGACCTATACGAAGGAAAAAGTTTATTTTAAATTTATTCTTGTTTATGCAATAAAGTCACCATACAATTACTTAAAATAGAAATTAAGACAAATTAATTAATCATCAGACCAGCCATTTTTTATTAAAATGATTTTGGTTAATTCTGTTTAATAACAATGAAATACTATGGTAAACAATAGTAAATTAATTACCGATACTGTGCGAACTACAAACAAGTAACTGCATAGTGACTTTATTGTCTCTCTTTCACTCTCTCTCTCTCTCTCTCTCTATATATATATATATATATATGTGTGTGTGTGTATATATATCTGTATGTATATATGTATATATATATATATATATATATATATATATATATATATGTATATCTATGTATATATATTTATTCATATGTTATATATATATATATATATATATATATATATATATATATAGAGAGAGAGAGAGAGAGAGAGAGAGAGAAAGATAAATATATCTAATTTTGAAGTGTATATAATGAAAGCGTGCGTATATGTATATATAATTATTTATTTAGAAAATTTATAACATAAACATGTTATAAAATCACTACAAAATAGACATTTTGTATATATATATATATATATATATATATATATATATATATATAACTGTCAGGGTTTCAATTCTCGGTAGTGGATGCGCACTGCTGATGAATCCCAAATATAGGACGAAACGGCCGTGCATTGCTTTCTGCATTATGTTGAGGTTTCTTCTAGACTCGATGAATTACTTCAGTATGATTATTTCAAATCCTCTTAATTATATATATATATATATATATATATATATATATATATATATATATATATATACTAATGATCGAGGTACAACTTATCTAGGTATCACCACATAGGATCATCAGGGTAAAAGCCAGTTCACTTGGAATTATTTATTTTATTTTTGTCCTACTTAGCGTATTGACTTTTAACTTATTACTTGCTGAGTTTTTTTCTCCTTGTGCCAGAAATTTAAGGTACTGGACGATTTTTCTCCCTGATCGGAAATTTCTGGTTCTTTTTTTTTTTTTTTTTCCTATTTTTCCTCGGACGCCAATTTGTTTGA